GGGGGGGTTTGGGGGGTCTCTGGTACATTAACAGCCATCTCTTGTTCTTGTTTTAACCACTTCTGCGGGCCGCCGTATATATACATATTGCGACCCGGAAGTGGTTAAAGGGGCAGAGACACAAACTACTGCGAATGGGACTCATGACTGGAGTCCCCGGGAGATATAAGAATGTTGACATGGATTACGCTGACCACTGATCACCCAAACCTGGAATATACAGTTGTTTGCCGAGCTGACATTTAATTCCTTCACACATTGGGTGCTGCTGATGCAGATTTGCTGAGTCTTTAATGTTTTGACGGGTCGGTGACCCTCCCGATAAAGAGTAAAGATTTGAACTTCTCATCGAAGATCATGAAGATGAAAGGGCGGTTAATTCGGATGGTGGGGTCTAAGGAATACGCAGTGATTTCTGCGCCGCTGATGGCGGTGGCTTCGGTCCCGATCTCGTCTATATCTATCACGGCTCTCTGTGTGACCTAAACATAAAAAATGAAAGGGTGACAATCACATGAAGCGGGACAGAACATCAGATTTATTTAGGAAGTAGGAATAGTACTGCGGGACTTTAGAAAAGATCAGACCTGTGGTGGAATGTGGTCATAACCCCCGGCCACCTGCAGAAAATCTGAAGTACGGAATAAAGAGACGTTGAACTTGAAGTCAATCTAACCTCAATCACTAAAATCTCATATAAGCCATATAAGCTGTTTCATGTTGTTGGTTTTTACCAAAAAGTTTTTAATCTTTTCAAATCTGCATCTTTTAAAAAAAAAATAATACGGTGATCCTACCATGAAGATCCTTCTTTAGGCACTACCCGTTTGGGGTGACAATTGTCTCTCAAATGTGGTTTTGCATTGCCACCCCGTCACATGATGCAGACTGCAAACGGCCATGCCAACACACATTGTGGTCTATCTATAAACAATTCACATAGAGGGTTATTCACAAAGCCAGCCGTAGCTGCGGCGGATCCTTTGGCTAGCTTCGGCCGCCTGAGCCCCTTCGGTATATTCACTATAGCCTGCACAGGTCCCGAAGCTGGCCTAACGGCTTAGTCGAGCCAAAGGCATATGCTTCGGCTCGACTGAGCCGAAATGAAACCCGAAGTGGGCCGATCGGCCGGCCATTGGCCAGGCTGAAAGGCCGGCAACTGACAGCTGGGCGGAGTCATCCGCGATCTCACGCAGGCCCGGATTCCCCACAAGGCCACCGGCCTCGGTGCGGCACGTAGCAGAGGGGCGGCAGCGCCGTGGAGTCCCCCGACGCCCGGAACATGTAGTTCCGGGCGGTAAGTGGAAATCCGACCGTTCGTTTACAAGTGATTGCGGCAATGTCGCCGCGATCACTTGTAATATGTGTGCAGTCCCCCCCCCCGCCCCCGCACCTACATCTCTCCGCTGGTCTTCGGGACTCCGTCCTCCCCCGGCCGCCCAATCTCTCTCCTGTCCCTGCCGCCGATGCAGTGAGCAGAGCGGCAGTGTTCAAACTAACTCTGCCGCTCCGTGTAGACAGTGAGAGGGGAGAGCTGTGCTGTGCTGTGCTGTGCTCTTCCCCTCTCACCTGTCACAGGAGTTCCAGCACAGTACTGTGCAGGAGCTCCTGTATTGGAGGTGACAGGGTCAATGAAGAGAATCTGTCACCTCCAATTGCTATCACACAGGGGGATTGTTTTCTCCTGTGTGATAGCAATAAAGATAAGTGAAAAAAAATTGATAAATCATAAATAAATATTAAAAAAAATAAGAAATAATAATTAATAAAAAAAGTGATTAAAAAGTAAAAAGTAAAAAATAAGAAGAATAATATTAAAAA